TGCTGGTGGCCCAGGTTCAGATCCCGGGCACGCACCGACACACCACTTGTCAGGCTATACTGTGACGGCGTCCCACATAACGTGGAGGAAGATGGGCACGGATGTTAGCCCAGGGCCAGTCTTCCTCAGCAAAAAGAGGAGGATTGGCATGGATGTTAGCTCAGGGCTGATCTGCCTCGCAAAAAAAAAATAAATAAATAAAAATAAAAATTTTAAAAAGCCCCAACTGATACAGGTAGTTGTGGCCCCTAAAACTTTGCAAAGTCCGGAGAAGCCTGCTGACTTCCGTTTAAGGCCAGTTCTGGAAAACCATCCACATGGAGGGAGATCAAGGCATCGAGGTAGTGGCCTGTGTTCTGGAAAAAGGAGGCTGGGATCACATTCCAGAAAAAGAATGGGCTAGAAGGAGTGAAATGTGATAAACACGGGTGGAAGTGGGAAGGTGCACCGAGTTTACCGCCCATGGAGCCCTGGAGCTAAGAGAAAGAAAACGTTGCAGAAGAGGAAATGGGGTACAGAAATACTTTTGGAAGGGGGTGATTTTACTGGATTTAGACTATAAGGGTACAGTGAGACAACCAAATCAATCATCCCTGTTGCAGATCCCCCAGCCCCAGGGGTCAAATCATAATTGGCACTAATCCTGACAATCTTATTCCTCTTTATTGGTGACTAGTCTCAGGATGGACACATGACCCAATTTCAGCTAACAAAAGGTAAGAAATCTGCTGGAGGTCTCCGGGAAAGATTTTCCTCCCTAGGAAAAGAGGTGTGTGAGGAGCTGCCCTCTCCCTTCCTGGTTTGCAAGCTTTTATGTGAGGATGTGATACTTGGAGCTGCAGCAGCCATTTTGGGGCCATAAGGCCACAAACTTGAAGAAGAAAGTTAACAAGTTACGGGTGGCAGAGAAGAAGGATGAAAGGGCCTGGGCCCTTGATGATCTTGTTGAGCTGGGACCACTACCTCCAAACTCCTTGTTAATAAACATTCCTATGGATGACTCACTATTGGCTGGATATTCTCTAACTTGCAATCAAATGCATCTTAACTCTAATGGATAAGCCTATATCTAAGCTTCCTATGTCCTCCTAGAACCTACCCAATGACTTCTTCTTTTATTTTAAATTATTTTATGATCCTGGAATTTTTAAACTCCGACTGCTTGCTTTGTAGGAGCTATGAAATCTTAGCAT